TTTACTCGACTCTTCCCAATAATATCCTTGTAAGTGCTCGACTCTTCTAACTACTATCCTTGTATGCACTCGACTATTCTCAGCACTATCCGTGTATACACTCGACCATTTTCAGCCCCATCCTTGTATGTACTCGACTCCTCTCAGCACTTTCCCTGTATGCACTAGACTTTTCTCAACACCATCCTTGTATGCACTCGACTCTTCTCAGCACTATCCTTGTATGTACTCGACTATTCTCAGCACCATCCTTGTATGCACTAGACTCTTCTCAGCGCCATCCTTGTATGTACTCGACTATTCTCATCGCCATCCATGTATGTACTCGACTATTCTCAGCACTATCCTTGTATGTACTCGACTATTCTCAGCGCCATCCTTGTATGTACTCGACTATTCTCAGCACTATCCTTGTATGTACTCGACTATTCTCAGCGCCATCCTTGTATGTACTCGACTTTTCTAAGCACCATCCTTGTAGGCACTCGACTATTCTCAGCAAGATAAAATGAGGTTACATGTTTTTTTATTTTATTTAATCGCTTTTGCATTCATGTACTGTAGTATCGGGCATTGTTTAAGTTATTTTATACTACCCCACAATGACAATATGATTTCGTTTTCTTTCATGTAAAGGATTAATCATTCTGCTTTATTTCTTTTGGAATAATCATAGTTCTGTTTGGAATGCGTCCAAGGATCTGGAACGGATTTAGTTTTTGTCATTTTGTCGGTAAATTTTACAGTTAACCTTGCTGTTTTAAAATAAAGTGCTAGTGGACTTGTTTCGTATCTTCAGAACATCGAAAATTGAGTTTACCAGTTGAATTCGGTTTGGGGCTCTATGGGTGGATTATACTCATTACAATGTGCCCCATGAGGGAGTAGGTGGTAGAGGGGGGAGACGGAAAAGACCCACTACCCTGTTCCCCATGAGGGAGTGGATGGGGGAGGGGGAGACGGAATAGACCCACTATCCTGTGCCCTATGAGGGAGTGGATGGGGGAGGTGGAGACGGAATAGACCCACTATCCTGTGCCCCATGAGGGAGTGGATGGGGGAGGGGGAGACGGAATAGACCCACTACCCTGTGCACCATAAGGGAGTGGTGGATGGGGCGAAATAGACTCACTACCCAGGTAAAAAAAAATGTTAAAAGGCTGATTAATCAAGGGTGTTTACTTCAAAGTCAGAGTCCACCTGCCTGTGAGGCCAGGAACCAACAGTCTGCATACAAATGAGCCAGATCTGTAACAAACAAACAAAAAAAAAAAAAAAAAAAAAAAAATGTGCATGCAAAAGTCAACAATTCCATAAGTCGATGAACAACCAGAACTGTCCGCCAGGGATTACTTACAGTCGGTGAATGGGAAATAGAACAGGAGACAAATTCTCAGCCCCCTGAAAAGCTGTTTCTACTTCTTGGCTGCATTTTCACACCGGCAGAATCAATCACAGACTTTGTTTATCAGAGCCTGGCGATGTTTAGCAGTTATGTCAAGTTGCCATGTTTATAACTGGGTTTACAGATGCAGGGTCTGACCCAGAACAACAAAGAACACTTGTGATATGCACGTGTTAGTTTTAGCTTTTCATGATCATCATCATCGACATATTTATCATCATATATTTAGTCTGTGGTTACAGCTTTGCGTACACGCTTCCTACCTCCAAGATGCCGCGTTCGATCCAAGTTGCGGACGATTTGACAGCAGACCACCTAGCCTTGGTTTAAATAGTTGATCGAGAGCCGACTGCTCGGTGGTAATGGCAAACTTCTTATCGTGAAGTCACCTACTGAATTCACGAACAGCCCCACAATTCCGGGGCTGTTTATGCAACGTCATGTAAAGGACTATAGACAGCAATGTTAAACAGATACAGTGAAAACATCCATAGGTCGACTACGCAGAACATGGACCCCAGAAATATAGGGCACTGAAAGTACTTTATACGAAGCGAACAGAAGGGCCCCTTCCAGAGATCTCCTTCTGACCTGACACTGCGAGGCATTCCAGGAGTAGGGAAAAAAAAAGAAGAAAGAAGAAGATGGTCACGCAACTAACTTTTAATTAAATCTAGCATCATAAGATTTTGAATTGTGCATTGGTCACTAAAGATGGTAAAAGAGTGCCTATGGCAATATCCCGAGTGCAATGATTTCGCGTTTCAGCTAAGCTCAGCATAACTATCATCATGATACTACATGTTTCCTTGGTAAAACTAACGTTGGTCTCCCTAGGTCCCGGCCACACTAGCTTACTTCTGATTGGTAGACCTTGAGCAACCCGATTTGGCACAAAGTTACGGGGATTTCCGCAATGCCGATATCGTGTGTTGTATATTTCAGCACGCCACCGCTTTTAACACTCCGAAAACATGGACAAACTGGGTTTAACATAACCCCATAGAGAGTGCTGATACCTATGTCACTGGCATTCTCTGTCTCTAATTAAAAACGTAAATGCAAATCTAACTAGAAAGCAAACAACAAAGCGGCACACCCGTAACCTCCATATAAGTAGACCAGTCCAAAAAACTTTTCATTGAAACATGAGCTACTTTATCTGGGGACTAACGTTAGTTTTACCGTTTCCCTTTATGAACAGGGATTATTGTGTTGAACTGGTTACGTCATCTAGCTGGCGTTTTGAAGGCAGTGAGTTTAGCGTTGATTGTTTTTTTTTTTTCTTGAAAGGAGGAGTGTGGTCCCGGTGAGGTTAGGGTGGGGGAGGGGAAAGGGGGGGGGGGGGTAGGTATGGTAATAGTACAGGTACTTCGAAAATATATCAGGTTTTCTCTGGAGTTGCATAATTTGTTATGTTATGGCTCGCAATCAGCGGCCGACCAGCAGTTTAGGGTAGAACGCTATTGGGTGAAGGAGCGGGGTTTGGGGGAAGTGGGGGGGGGGGGGCGGGGTGCTGCAGAGAAGGTGGAGAACCAGTGCACGCAACGAGGTCGATACTCTTGCCTTCAACTCTGTGGCGAAGTAGTCAAGCTGTTTGCTGAAGGTCGTGGGTTCACTTCACGGCTGCGGGGTTCAGTTTACGAGTATAATTTTTTAGAGATCGCTGGGGATCGTCCCCAGGGCTACAGAGTTCGTGCACTGTGCGACGCGGAGAGAGACCGAGCCATATGCTTTCAAATCCGGTGCAACGAAGCCGACCCTCTCGACTTTAAGCTTTCACCTTTTGACATTGCAGATTTCCGTTTTCTTGCTCATTGTGTCTCTCTCCATTGTGACTCACGGTAGCGGAGAAGCTGTACGTTCGCCAGGCGGTCCGAAGGTCGTGGGTTGGATTTCGCACCGAGATGGTTTGCTTTTCTTTCTCTTTTGTCGTCTCAGGTTGTGGCACTGTGACATGTTTTTCTGTATTTGTTTTGTACTTCTCTTCTCGGGTGGCGTTAGGCATGGATTTTTTCCTCTGTTGTTTTGTGTGTGTGTGCGCGCGCGCGCATGTGTGTGTGTGTGTATGTGTGTGTGTGCAGATTTTCATTACACTATTTATGCATCTCTTTATTGGTCTTCCCTTCGTCTTCCTCTCAGATGATCTGCTGTTTGAAAGGTCATGTGTAGTTTGGCTTGGCTGCATTTTCACTAGATAGCCTAACCGTTTCGTTCTTTGTCTGTCTAAATAATTCAACACTGTCTTATTCCAACTGTCTCTCTAGTGCTGGTATTCGTTACCCTGTCCCCTTCATGTGTTGTTGAACTTTTCTAAGTGGCAAGCATCGCTTCAGAGGTCCTGGTAGTTGGTGTATTTTAGATCGTTTCTCCTTGGAATGCCTGTGTGTTGGGAAATAACAGACATATAGGTTGGCTCATTCTGCGTCACTTGAGCTAAGCGATGCATGACAAGCTATGTGTTGTAAAGAACCTTATGGAGCGAAGAAACGTACAATGGCACAAATAGATCATAGGGGGGTCTGGATAGAATGATGCAGCCAGGGCTAGCTAAGGGATCTGGCTGAAGATCAACACTCAGGGGAGGAGCGAGATGGACATACAATCGGGTTGTTACTGGGACCATCAGAACTGAAACTCTGTGCTTGCTGATGAAGATCAGATTGAAGCGTTAATGGGAATATCTCGAGTGCAATGAGGTCGGATCCTAACTCATGCTTCTTGAATTTCTATGATGCCGGTAATCATTTCTCTTTGTTGATTACCTGATTTAAAAACATCCTTTTTTTTTTCTTGACTGCCTATAGTTTTTCAAACTACAGCCTAATGTATGCTCTTTGTTGCAGTTTGAAAGTTTACGTCAAAAGGGCGACTTCCTCGCACCAGATTTTACCTCATCAAGCTAGCAGCCTGCTGAGAGTAGCGCACAAAAAACGAACTACATAGTTCGAGCGTCAGTCCCTATCATCATCATCTTCATCATCATCATCATCATCATCAATGTCCACTTCTTCCTTTAAGCTGCGTGGGGAGGAACAGTTTGCTATCCATTACTTGATGGTCAGCAATAGATGTTGACCTTTTGTGTCGATGTAGAAGCTCGTTAATGTCATCAATACATCTTCTCATAGTACGACCTCTTGATTTCATCTTAGATCATTTCATATGTAGCACATGTGTTGGTAGTTGTTCTGACTAAATTCTTACTGCATGATCAAACTACCTGATCTTCTGTTTCTCCATAACATTGCTGCATAGTGCTGTTCTCCATAGTCTGTTTGATAATATCATTTATAACTTTGTCTTGGATGGTTACATTTGCGGCTGTTCTCATGCATCGTAAATCAATCCAATATGGGTTACGTAAAAACAGCACTCGTGAACAGAACGCTGTGTTTATGAAACGAAAAATACGACCTTAGAGCTCGAGGAAAACATCGTGACCACTTCGCTCTTTCTTATAATTATGATGGTCATTTCATTCCAGTGCGCTCTTAACAAACGTTCCAGATACGTTTACAGAAATGCAATTCTAAGGCTCGAAGAATTGCTAATAGCAGCGTATGTTTAAGGGAAGATTTTCTTTATGTTTCAGAAATGATGTACTCGCACCGACTTGTTGGTTCCAGAGATGAAATTACTTTGGAAATTTTGGACACAGCTTTTGAGGTCAGTGGTATATATAAATATGCATTTGAATTATATACACATGTCACATACACCCACGACACACACATACCATACACAGATGGCCTTGTCTACGTATAACACATATTTCGCAGATAAACACATGTATCGCACACGCGTCACACATATATGACATAAACCCACCATACGCATGCGCCATACATGTCATGTGATGGGACCTTTCCGGTATTTTTTTTTTCAAGCAATAGCATAAGAATCACAGCCGAAGGTGATATCAAGTAAGGCTGGGAATGAAGTTCATCCTCTCCATAATACAGACTGGGCTGTATTGTAAAGACCACGCCTAGCCCATGCATCATCATCTGCCTGCATTGTTAACTCCAATGGTAGCACCACTACTACTTGAGCAAAACACGCTGCAGAAGCTGCCGGATCAGAAAATCAGCGCTTAGTCTGTCTACCTGTCGATGTTTTTCTCTAAGAGAAGTTGCTAGCTAAGGCTAGGGACCTCACAGATTTTACAGTATGTATCACACTGGCGAAGCGTGATCAATTCCCATATTTAAGCTGGTAACAATTATACTAGAGTGCGTATCCTTTGATATGTTCATCCTCGTCGCTTCGCCGTTAATAGTATGAGTGCTCAGCTAGCGTCGTAGTACCTGTAACTGGCTGGTGGCCTTCACTCCTCACTGTTTCTACAGTATTGGCTTAAGCATGAAGCGAGCGGTTCCTTTTCCTATGTTCGAGATGTAAACCGAATGGCGCATTTTGAATCAACAGTTAACAGAGATAAAAAGAAGCAAAATAAAGCATTTTTCTGTTTCAATGGAAAGTGTAAGCGCAGGTTACAGCCCTGTCATGCAGGCATCGGATAATAATAATAATGAGAACTCCACAGGGAGCATGCACTGCAGGAATCCACCATCACCAGTAAAAAGATCCCTCGTCGACTATTTTTTCGGTCCATTACTTCCTTTGCAATCTCGGAAGATAGGTCGACCTGTGTCATGACTCCAGGCCACGATCTTTCCCTGCTGCACTTTATCGGACTCACGGGCAGGGACAAAGCGATATGGTGCCTTCTTAACAGATATTGTGAGATGTGATGTTATAGTGTCGCTGTAGTTGCAAATTAGCGATCTACCTTCACGACCAGAGTGACAAGCTTAGGGTTGCTTCATCGGATAGTTGTTAGACTTTGGCATTTGGCAGAGAGACACTGGCAGACATTTATTACACTTTGGCTTTACAGGGATGAAAAGTTCTTTTCCACTAGAGCCCAGAATAGTCTACTGAGGCTCATCGCCCACGATGTTCTGTTACATCCAAAGCCAGTGTATAACTCGGACAGGTAAAGATGGTCCTATTGTCACGACTGCCATAGAGTTGTAAAGTGCTGAGCATGTACATAAGCTAGTAGGTTTATCACAATTAGGGTCCCCACTTCCTTCCTCGTTGCCTTTTCTTCTCTGACAAACCTCGGAGGAAGTCTGAATATCGAAAGGCTGTAACGGTAGCAGTGTCGGCGTGTACGAAACCTTGCCACCCACATTTTTCAGTGGCTTCGGGTGGAGACAAGCACTGATTGGGAGACGGAAAGGAGAGAAACAGAAAAAGGGGAGAAAAAAAAAAGGGGGGGGGGGGATACTCCAGATAGGAGGAAAACTTATTGTTACGGCAGAGCAGGCTGTGCTCTTAGCTTTGACATCTGGTCTGACAGCGAAATTCTGACACGCGAAGTTCGGCGCCTTTTATTTGGCAGCTTCTGCAGCCCGCTTTCGCGAAACGTTTTAGTGTTACCTTTCCTTTGAAGTTAATAATGAGAGAGGAATCATGTTGGGGCAGGTGGTGCTAGACTAATATAGACTAATCGGCATTCGGTGGATGATGATGTCAACATCACGGACTTCACCTGGTACCCACCCAAGCCTGGGATACCTGGGAGCGAAGGTAATGTTTGAAAATAAGTGCGAGCCACTCAAAGTTGGGTTACCTAGGAGCCAGGGTCATTTAAAAAAAACAACAGTGCTGCTCCATTCGGATTCGCATCCTTGAACTTCTGATCCACAGGGCGAGCATCTAGCAGCTACACGTGCATAAGCAACACGTGGTCTCTACAACAGTGCTCATGCCTTGTGCTATTGAAACGACGAACGTCACCTTTGGCTTTAATTGGTATCATGCTCCCTGTAGCACATCGGTTCTCAACCTGTGAGTCGCGTCCATTTTTGGGGTCTAACGACCCTTTCACAGGGGTCGCCTAAGACCACCGGAAAACACATTCATGGAAGTTATGAAGTAGTAACGTCAATAATTATGTGTTTAGGGGTCGCCACAACACGAGAAACTGTATTAAAGAGTCGCCACAACACGAGGGACTGTATTAAAGAGTCGCCACAGCGCGAGGGACTGTATTAAAGAGTCGCCACAACACGAGGGACTGTATTAAAGAGTCGCGGTATTAGGAAGGTTGAGAACCAGTGTTGTCGCACAAAGCAACAATATCGTTTGGAAAGACGGGAAAGTGCCAACAGTCGATGCCAGTACTTTAAGGGATTAGTATATTCACACTGAAGATTGAATCCGGACAGCTGCCCAGGCAGGCAATAGAACTAGTCTCTATACCACACAGCTCCTTCTAAAGTAAATCCAGTATCACAAAATGTCTCGGGCTGTTTTCGGAACTACATGTCGGACTGAAAGTAACACCGTAAATAATGTCTGCTTCCTTTAGAAGAAACCATATCTAATGTTATAAAATTCCCTGGCTGTTTTCAAACCTTACACCGTGGAGTGAAACCGACAGCTCTGATGATAGGCAAGCGAAAGCCGAGGTCAAAGATTTATCTAGAGCCGCTGAAAGTGTTATACCTCAACTACTTGCAGAGCCGTGAGAAGAACCTCTTATCTCCAAATGTTTCTGATGGCAGAATATGACGCGTGTTGTCAGCGACGAGAGCGCTGCAGATTGCCTTGGAAACAGTTGATCTTGTGTTTTCGTTAAGGTAGATGCGGACTGTGCTGTGTCATCCGTCTTTCTACATCGTCTAGACATGGAAAATCAAGTTTGGTACGATTACCATATGCCAGGAATATTGACGTCACTACTTAAACTGTGTTATTTTATCTCATTTTTTTTTCTGTAAGCTTCTCAGTTTTATAAATGTTTTGTTTTTCTTTTGAGCCTAATGTTTTCATCGGCCCATCGGTCTTAGCCCATCTTTCAGTGTTTTAGTTTGTGCAAATATAGCTCCACACTGTTCCAACGTTTGTTTTTCAAGCCTGCAAAACTTACATGTGATATAGGCACAGTGCCTATGATTATGCTGTTTGTTTTGCCGTGTTATCATGATTCAATATTTCAACATTCTCTATCTTAGAATGAGTTTTCTGGAGGCAAAATAAATAAGATGTTATGGCGTCTACTGTAATTACCAGACTGTTCCAGAATTTAAACACACAAAACCACAGTGGTATACCAGCCCGTATGATCTTGTGTTGGCGGATTTGACCTCTTGTCGTGGTGGGGGGGGGGGGGGGGGGGGGGGGGTAGCTTAAATGGTGACCAGTATAAACTGAAAACGAATAAGGCACTAGAACAGAAAATAACAACATGTGAAATGCGTTGTCTCCGCAAAGTCACTAACAACATTAGACGAGACGGGATTACGAATACCAACATTAGAGAGAAAGTTGGAAAAAGACCAGGTCTGGATTATTTTGACAGACAATGAATGAAATGGTTCGGCCATCTAGTGAGAATGCAGCCAGACAAGACTGCATATGAGACTTTGTACAGTAGAACATCTGGGAGGAAGGTGAGATTGGTAAATGGTATGGCTGAAACCTGCGACAGGATTAACAAATCCATGACTTAAGGAACCCGAGAAGAGCAAGACAAATACAGAAAACAATCGCGTAGTGGGGCTAAACTAGATAGCTGGGACTTACGAGCAATTAAAATGGAGGAAGCTGCAGAACATGCGGCAGCTGCTGCTCGTGAGTCCCAGGAATCCAGTTTAGCCCCGCTTCCGCGCCTCGCGCCGCGCGTAGCGGCGCGGGGATAACTCTCGGCAGTGACTTTAACTCGGCGGAAGCTTTTCCGCGGTATGCTGTGTTTTCGCTGGAAAACGTCCGCAAGTTATATGTGACTGAGGCAATGTTAGGGTATATTTTCGGCCTCTATAATTTGGAACCGTTATTCAGAGGATAGCCCAGGTTTCTTATCTGACCAGTTTGACACAGTGGTAGACCCAGCCGAATGAAATCAGCACTGCATAATTCTCTGTCAGTTAGCTGCTAAGGAAACACAGCGAGTGAGGAAAACGGAGAGCTATTACTTAGGGGCAACATGTATTAAGCTGTTCAGGATACAATTTTCGGAGAAGATAACAACGCAAAGAATAACCCTAGTGAATATACTCAGTTTATCAGTTTCAAAATTGCAGATAGGTAGGTGATTTGCAGGGGAAAATAATTGCATCCCCGAAGGGAGAGCTTTAGGTTATAATTATGGCTAGGTTATGTGCGTCATATAAAATTGCTTAGCACTGCTGCCCACAAAGAACCGTGAAAAAGGACTCCTTCAGTGTTGATGCGATCAAAGGAGACAGACCCAAATATTGTCCCGACCGGCGAGGAAGTCGTCTACCGGCGAGCCAATGGGCGACCCAGTTGCCAGTGACTTTAAAATGGCAAATTACTATGTGCTGAATATTAAAATATCTAGACAGATGTCGTTGGTGTGGTGCGACTAAATGTAAACGAAATACTCACCGTTTGGTGATCGGTCTATGTATACAACAGGTAATCTGCCTGGTGTGTTTCTTGGGACATAAAGAGTTAAAAGGGACTAGATTAGCTTAATTACACCGAGTTATATCTTATACAATGCAGCCCTTTACAAAATGAAGAAAATTTTATGCAATTTTTCTTTGACAATTGAGACGGAATTAGAAGAATTCTTAAAAGCTATGTAAATTATATTTTAATATACTGAAATGAATCATGGACAGTTGGTGACTAACTGAAAACTTATTTGGAAGCTACGGAGATGTGTTTTATTGACTAATGATGAGAATACTCTGGACATATAGAAAGAGTAATTAGAATGTCTTGAAAGAAAGTGACTCACGAAGAGAACTGATTTCCCACATTAGAAGGAGACAGTCTGCTTTCTTTATTCATGTGATGAAAAGGAGAAAATTGGAGTACATCGTCACAGTAGGAAAGCTGGAGGGGAGGAGGGGCAGAGGGAGACTTCAAAAAAAGATTCTGAACGTTTGACACTTGGCATGCAGGTTCCTCTGTGTAAGAGTTGACTGAAAGTACACGAGACAGTAGGTTATGGATATACATGACTACCAGCGCCACACGGCTTGGACTATAGAAGATCATCTGTGTCAGAGTTGACTGAAAGTACACGAGACAGTAGATTATGGATATACATGACTACCAGCGCCACACGGCTTGGACTATAGAAGATCATCTGTGTCAGAGTTGACTGAAAGTACACGAGACAGTAGGTTATGGATATACATGACTACAAACGCCGCACGGCTTGGACTTAAGTAAGATATTTGGCTCAGTCTCTCTCTGTAAAGGAACTTACCGTCCATCGAGAGCGCCACGCAAAGCACACAGCTTAGTAGCACAGGCGACGATCTGTAGCGATTTCAGAAACATATTGGTTCTTCAACATATCGACCCAGGCTGACACTGAATTCTGACCTCTAGCGAGAAACAAACAGCTAAAGCCACAGAAATTTCAATGAAACACATGCTGACCCTGTATACCATTGAGAAGGTTTGCATGTAACGGGCTGTAACCGCCGCTTACACTTCGCATTAGTAAAGTGAAGGTCCCTTTCTGAAGCCTTTAGGCGTATAGGGCATACAGGGCTAGACCTATATTTTTATAAACCAATCAGCACAAGATGGGTGATGTGGTCAGCATCACACCGGCCGCCTTTACTCCCCAGGAATGCGCCCAGTACCCACTCACGGCTGGGTCAACCTGGAAGTCAAGGTCATTTTTAAAAAAGTCCAGCTCCGCCAGGGAGCGAACTCACGACCTTTCGATCCGACCCCGAGCGTCTAGTCGGTACGTCACAGCTACCCCTTACACGTCTCATTGGCAATGAACACATTATTTTACTATTTACTATTACAGTTTATGCGCGGCGTCCGTGGCTTAGGCGTTGCGAGTCCGACTCGTAATTCCAACGTACCGCGATCGAAACCCACTGCTAGCTGCGTGGATTTTGATCATGGTATGGGGCGTCGCAGGTCGACCCAGCCTAAAATGGGTACCAGGATGGCATTCCTGTGGAAGTAAAGACGGCCGGCGTAATGCTGACCACATTACCCCCCCCCCTCCCCCCAGTGCCGATTGGTCTGGCAAAATATGGGTGCTCTTCCCATACGCCCTATGCGCCTAAGGCGTTAAAACGGATCCTAACTTTGTACTATTATTACAGTTTACTCTCGCTTTCAAATCCAGCTGCGACTCGCTGCAACTCACGGCCGGTGTTGGATACCGGGCGGCTCCCGGGGTTCACCCAGCCTCTAGGTAACGGGTACCAGAGTTAACAGTCTGGGGTAAATGGAGGATCGTCGCTGGAGCTACAAAGTTGTGTGCGGACAGCGACACAGGCGGACAGTTTTTTATCAGCTGTCCGTACTGGGGGCAGAGCACTCATGGTTTTAACCGTGTGCAATGACACTGGTTTACATCTCCCGACTTTACCATTACCTTTACAAATACGCCACTCGGTTTCCGTCTAGAATATAGCAAAAAGGGCGCTCGCTGCATGCTGACCCCACTCAAGCAATATCTGAACGTGTGAAAGTTACCAGTAACTAGTACTTTAATGCCAGCTGCGCATGCATATTCTCAATAGCGAGGCTACGAGAAGAAAAATCACGTGATACCATCCCCAATGTAATCGTTACCTGCTAACTCTTACACACGCGAGCTGATCAAGCCTTTGCCACTCACCTTTACCTATGGTAAAATGTGAATGTCACGACTCTATGCGTTCTCGGGATGCCAATCAATACCCTTTGTTTACTAAAGTTGTATGTACTATTCGGGAAGCCACCCGTGATGTACAGCCTAGACCAGTGTTTCCCAACTTGGAATCCACGCCCGACAGATGGGGGGGGGGGGGGGGAATTGGGGGGGGGGGGGGGCAGTTTTGATTGTTGATGTTGGCAATTCGAAAGTGGACTCGTCGACAGGTGAAGTTACACAGGCGTCATGAGAATTTTATAAAAAGGCTTAGACACGGTATGGCGCATGCACGCACGCATGCACGCACGCACACACACACACACACACACACACACACACACACACACACACACAAAGGTTGGGAGACTCTTGGCTATACTCTCGCCTGCAGATCTGAAGGTCCTGGATTCAAGACCGAAAGGAGCTGGATTTTTAAAAACATGATGTTAGCTGGCAGGTCGACCCAGCCTTAAATGGGTATCAGGAAAATCCTAGGAAGTAAAGACGCCAGGTGTGATGTTGACCACAACACATATCGGGTGCCGATTGGTCTATAAATTACTGGTCTAGCACTTATGTCTAATACATTTGAAGACGTTGGGGCCCTTTACTTTATTATGTACTATTTGTCTTCCTTTCAGATGCCAAAGGACACGCAGGAGAAGCACATTCGCTGGGCTGATGGGTTCGTCTTGATATACTCGGTCACCGACAGACTCAGTTACCAGACAGCCTGCAAGCTGAAGGTGGGCATACGTGGCTGCTTTGACTTCCAATTGGTGAAAATATGATCACAGTCAAAATCATCATCGTTGTCAAAATAATCAGTGATATCATCATCAACGTCATCCTTAACATTGTCGTTATCGACATCACAATCGTTGTCAGCATCATTGTTGTGAAATAGGTTGCGATATTACACCGCCCTGCATCCCATTTCACTAAATACCAAGGGGGCTGCGAGGTTTCGAGACATGGTGTCTGCCTCTAGTGCTACAGGTTCCGGGTTCAATCCACGGTAGAGACTGGGATTTTTCACGTGGACTTGGACTTCTTGTAATTCCCCTTGGTCTCTGGGTAGTGATATAGGACGCCCGTGTGCATTATTGTGCAAGTAAAAAATGCCTTGGCAGTTGGAAATCGAAATGAGTAGCATAACGGCACTGTCCATGCAAAATTTGGAGTTAAAAATCTACCCAAAGTATTTCAAGATCCTCGCCAGTACACTGTGCTGAGCTTCTTTGGACCCAGACTTGAGTTAGAAGAAGAACAACGCACTTATGGGTTACTACCCGTGTGCCATAATGTTGATCCATTGTTCAAACTTCTATACTACGTTTTTTCTGTAAAGTAAGTAAAGGACCCATTTCCACGTCTTTATGTGTGTTGGGCATAAAGGGCTAGACCTATCCTCAATTGTATAGACTAATTTGGTGGGTGATGTGGTCAGCATATGGCTGGCTGCATTGACTTCCCAGGACTGCACCTGGTACCAACTCAAGGCTGGGTCCACCGGGCAGTCAACGTCATTTTTGAAAAATGTCTTTTTCCGTCAGGATCAAAACGCACGACCTTCCGATCGACGGGCGAGCTTCCAGCTGCTATACCACGGCGACGTTCAATTTTCTTCTTTCTTACGTATTTTCTCAATGGAGTTGTTTCTGTACCATTTGTTTCCTTCAAATCCACAGGAAATCATCTTTCAGTTCCGAGGCTCAGAAGTTCCCATAGTTCTCGTGGCCAACAAACACGATCTTCTCACCGCACGTGCTGTTACCGAGGATGAGTGTGACAACCTGGCCGGAGAGATGGACTGTCCCAGGTTTCAGATCTCAGTGGCTGAAGTATGACATTTATGTATATTCTTCTTCTCCGTATAGTACAGGTCATGTGGCATCGGTAGTCGTGTCTATCCACAACCTTCTGTCTTGTGTACTTTCAGTCGCTTCTGACAGATGATCTTTCATGTCATTCTCTTACTCTCCAGCATCGTCTCTTCTCCTCTTAAACTGTTCTACCAATCACGATGTACTCCACATTATTCTCTTTCTCATGACATTACTTAGGAATTACATTGTCTCCTACAATGTTATGGGATTGGGATTGTGTTTTTGGAAAGAAAAATGATAAAACTCTTTGAGTCTTTTAATCTGCTTCTTAGTTGAGCGGCGACTATATCAAGTCCCTGTTGATTTGCTGACTGCGTCGTAGTTTCTCTTATAGACGTTTGGTTGCGTCTGTCTTTTCTTCCTGTTGTGCCACCGTAGTCTGGTTTTTGGTAGTGCTGTGTTTCTGGCATGTGGATGGAAAGTCTGCTCGTCCTGAAAAGGACTTAATAGTTCACCTGGGCAGGCCTGGATCGGAAATCGGTTGTATTTCATGGGTCTGGCTTATATTCAGTAATTTCTTGTCTATCTAGATTACGTCACATATTGCAATCTCCAATATGGTACTTATGTCGACAGTGACTGTAATTACTACAAATGCTGTAACAAATATTGGCAGTCGTACTGATGTTAACCAAATCACTCAGTGTGTTTTGATCGATCTGTAATAATATGGTTTGGTTAATTGAGTATCCTTTACAGGACGTTGCTAGACCAACCCCAGCAGCTCCTGGCTGTTGTGTGGTTTTTCTAGGCAAATTTACGTCCAGTAGTTTGCCATTTCTACTGGACGGTCGGCCCCCTGATACCACTGTCGAAACCAACGCAAGGCGCATAGCTCACAGCTGGGATCGAACCCGGCACCCCGGCATTACGAAGCGTTCGCATCGACTTAGCCACGGAGCCGTCTGTAATAATATGAAGTAAGCCAAAAAATGCACCAAGTGTTTCAAACGTGCATCGTAAAAACAGACAATATGTTTTTTTCTTTTTCTTTTTCGCCGTTCGGGACAATATTTGGGCCTGTCTCTTTTAATCGCATCCACACTGTAGGAGTCCCTTTCAGGGCTCTTGGTAGCGTGCAATGCTAAGCGATTTTATATGGCACACATAACCTAGTCACAGTTATAACTTAAAGCTCCCCCTTCTGGGATGCTGGTTGAACGTGACGATTTTTCAAAACTGTTGTCCAGCTAAGCACCTTCCTACCTAAGCTCTTCTGGTCGCTTCGACCATACACAAAGTACCTGAGCGACGAGCCTTCTTCCCCACCCCACCCCACACCACAGCCTCGTTTCGAGAAGAAAATTATTACTAATCAATTCTACAAACAGTACCAGCCAATATTTTGGCAGCGATACTAAGTTGCCTTCTTTAACCAGGTGTAGACATTATCTTGAAAGTATCACGTATATAAATTATCTTGAAAGTATTTGTTTATACATTTCATATTAGTTTGAAAAAGCAACAGAGATGTGCTTTCTGAGATGAATGTTACGAATACCTTGGACAGCCAGAGTAACCAACATGATGTGATTTTCCCTGTCATCTAAGGATGCCTCTTCTTCCTCGTCCTCTTCTGTCACTTCACATTGCGTCACAATTTCCATAATGTCATTGTCAGTTATTTTATCAAGTTTTTCGTTCTCCATCCAATCTATAATGTCGCTGCATTGACATCGTTACAGCCTGGTACCTTTTCCTTATTTCATTACCGGTATTTAATTTTTTTTTTTTTTAGATCGAATAATACGGAGTCCGGATAATCGTGAACCGGATAGTCTACTGTTTATCGAGCATACGAAACCGAACGCAAAGAAGAAGAAGAAGAAGAAGAAGAATTATAAATCATGGATTGTGGTATGCAAATGACTGTTTTCTTACTTCCAATTAGGGCCAAGAAGGTGTGAACGAGACCATGGAGGAACTTCTGGTTCTCATCAAACGCCAGCTGGTGAAGAGTTTGTCTGCCCCAGAACATGTGGCGGGACTGGAGAAGAAGTCACGCCTGTTTAACATGAAGAAAGCCCTCAAGAAAAGGATTGTTCGAAGTCGAAGTGACACATTCTGAGTTGTACAGAACTGTGGCATTTGTTTTGCGGAATATAGAAGTGGCGATTGCTTTTTTTTATAGAGACCTTTCATTTGATTTGTTAAAACAAATGCGGCATTTGTGGAGTTTAGAAGTGACAATTATTTAACAGAATTGAATTCTTTTTTTTTAAGGTATTGGTATTTGTTTGTTGACTTTGGAATTGTCATTTGCATTCACTTTGTAAATAATGATGTGATACTTGATTGTGCAATTTTGAAGTGACAAGTAAGTAGTTTGTGGAAGAGAATTGGTGTGTCTGTGATTACTATTTTTTTTTAAAATAAAATATATTCTGTTTGTTCGTACAATTTACAAGCAGTGATTGATTTGTAGAAATGAGAAGTTATGTTTGGTTTGTGGTATAAAGATACGAATTTAAAAAAAAAAGATATTATTAAATAGGAGAAAAGCCCCCCACGCCCCCCCCCCCCCTTCTTCCACACAACCATCCACGTAGTAGAACATTCTTTTTCTTTGCGTTCAATCAGTCAATCAATCCTCGTCGTGCACAGAGGCACATAAGGCAGAGACAAACTGTCGCCACTCAATTCGACCCTGAGCCATTCTTCTTCTTTTCAGTTGTTTTTTCTCCGCGTAGCCTTGAGTTAAGCCTCAAAGGTTCGCTTACAAGTGTCTCTGGGCCTGCCTTTCCCGTGGTCTAGCGGTTAGACGCTCGCCTGCGGATCCGAAGGTCGTGGTTTCAAGTCCTGGCGGAGCGGGAATCTTTTCAAAAATGACTCTGGCTCCAAACCTTGAGTGGGTACCAGCTACACGTCCTGTGAAGTAAAGGCGGCCGGCGTAATGCTGACCCCATCACCCACAAAGTGCCGATTGGTTTATAAAAGGCCCCGGAAAACTCGTTCAGCCCTTAGGCCATATTAATTGGCATGCTTTATTTAGAGCCCCCGGCACAAGCCGAGGTGGGGCTTCAAAATAACAAAAAATCGCATCCCACATAGGGACGACTTGTATAATATATGGCAGTGATCTTCTATCTATCTTCTTTTACCCCACCAGGACATCACACAGGCGATAAACACCAGATAACACAAAGTGCCACCATGTGGACGAGGATCATCCGTGGAGAGGTCTCAGAAACCGCGTTCAGTCATTAGACCAAATTTATGGGCGGGCTATATTGCGGCCTCTGGCAAGAGCCAGAGTAAGGCTTCAAATAGCGAAAAATTGCATCACAAGGAGATGACAAGATTATTATCTCAAAAAAAAAAAAAAAAAAGTGGCAGAGATGGGGATTTCGTATGACTTCAACTGGTACATGAACGAAGCAATTATGGTTGGTGGAAAAAAGGGGGGAAGAAGGGGGGGGGGGGGGGAGAGAGAGCTTTTGCGAAGAAGTTGGAGCCAGCAACTGATAGCCTGCAATTTTGAAGAAAGTGTTGCAATCAAAGAAAATGTTATTGTCTGGTAATCAATGGTAAATCCAATATGAGAATGTAAAAAACATATAGAATATAAATATAATTATTGCCAACGAGTAGCGGCTCTTGTTGAGTGTTGCCACAACTTCTTTGAGCTCACCGTAAACTTTGAAACTGACACATACTACATCTGCTGCTCCAGATTTCTACTGTTGGTTCCCATTTCCATTAAGTCAAGTAAGTAAAGAAAAGGACCCTTTTTCCATCTTGAACACATAGACCTGTGCTTTACAGACCAATCGGCACTGGATGGATGATGTGGTCACCATCACGCTGCCCGCCTTTACTTTTTGGGACTATACCTGGTACCCCCTTAAAGCTGGGTCGACCTTGGAACCAAGGTCATTTTTGAAAGCAAGTAAAAAGTCCGGCTCCGTCATGGCTCAAACGCACGACCGTCAAATTCGAAGGCGAGAGTCTAGCCGCTACACCACGGAGGCTCCCCATATCCGTTAAGGAGGGTCCGTAAAAGCTGACAAATGAGTGTGTTCTGATGTGATCAATAAAATAAAATTATTACGCATTTTATTGAAGTACTTTTGACTAAAAATATCAGAACTGTTTCTACACACAGCAGATCTTTTATATTCACATGAAACAGTTTTGTCGCTTGGTTATTTAGTGCAGTAATGTATGTTTACAATTGGAAATATTGTTCACTAATGAGCTTTGTAAGATAGTGCGTTTTTGTGATGTACAGAACTCTGAACGTGCCACTAGCGTGGTGTTTTATAGGTAAGGTTTTTTTATATGCAATTAAATTGTGATTTTCATATCTACAGAAGACCAATGTTATAATTTATTTTAATAATGTCCATGCATGCTTTAGTCATAAACATGTAGCGGTTAGTTAGTTAGTTAGTCTTTCCTCTTGTGTCGAGTGCGGCACATAGGGCAGAGGTCGTGACTCTCCATGCACGGCGGTCCGTTGCAATCCGTTGTAGGTCTTGGATGTTTGAGTGGCCCATGAGCGAGCCTTCCCTGATGATAGTTCTACGTAGGGTTTCCCTTGGTCTTCCACGAGATCTTTTCCCCTGTGGTGTCCAAATGAGGGCTTGGTAAGGAAGTCTTGATTTATCCATTCTAAGGACGTGGCCGACATAGTTCCAGCGGCGTTTTCGTATAAAATTAGACACATACTCTTGCCTGGATTCTTGCCTTATTTGTGTATTGGTTCGGAAATCTGACCATTTGAAATTTAGTATTCTTCTAAGGCATTTATTTTCAAAACTGTCTAATTTTGTGTCTAGAGTTTTCGTTGATTTCCAACTCTCGCATCCATAGGTTAGTACTGGAATCACACAAGAATTGAAGATCTTGAGTTTTGTGTGTTTGCTAAGTGTCTTTGATTTCCAGATGTTAGACAGTTTATTGAAGGCACTAGATGCCAGTGCTATTCTAAATGATATTTCTGGTGCGGTATCTCCTGTAGATGACATCTTGCTCCCTAGATAAGTGAAACTGTTGACTTTTTCAAGGCTGTTGTTGTTCAGCGTGATATCAACTGAACTGTTGGTAAGGTCTAGAATTTTTGTTTTTGCGGTGTTAATTTGGAGTCCAATTTGTTCTGAGAAATTCTGGAGTCGATTGATTTTTTCTTGGGCGTCTGTGTGTTCTGAACTCAGGAGTGCTATGTCGTCAGCGAAGTCTAGGTCTTCCAGAATTTTGTCAACCCATGTAATGCCTAAATTTGCGTTATTTATGCACTTGCGCATGACCCAGTCGATTGCTATACCAAAAAGCATCGGCGATAGGACACAGCCTTGCTTCACTCCTGTTTCCACCGGGAACCAGTCAGAATTGCCGGAATCAGTTCTTACACAGCATCGTGTTTCATTATAAAAAGATTTTATGATGTTGATATATTTGATGGGGAAACCATAGATGTTAAGCAATTTCCAGAGTGTTGGACGATGGATACTGTCGAAGGCTTTTTGAAAGTCGACAAAGTTGATCAATAATTTCGACTGGAATTCTGTAGAATCTTCAACAATTATTCTAAGAGTAAAGATGTGGTCTATGCATGACCGCTTGGATCTAAAACCGGCTTGTTCTTCCCTTAATCTTTCATCTATGGATTTTTTCAATCTTTCTAGTAGCATACTACAAAATAGTTTCCCTGGTATCGAAAGCAGGGTGATGCCTCTCCAGTTGTTACAATCGGATAAATCACCTTTTTTAGGTAATTTGAAGATTACACCGTCTTTCCATTGTTGTGGTGGGTATTCGTTTTGCCAGACTTCATCCATCAGCTGGAGCAAATGTTGCAGGGTGTTTTCATCCGCTGCTTTGAGCATTTCTCCTGAGATGTTGTCCTCTCCGGTAGCTTTGTTTATTCTTAATTTTTTAATAGCTGTTTTAATCTCCTCTATTGTGAATGACTCGCTGGAGGCAATTAGTGTGTTGGTGTAATAATTTCTTCTTCTAAATTGGCAATGATGTCAGGATTTGGCCTATTTAATATTTCCTTGAAATGTTCTGCCCATCGCTTTGTTTGTTGGTCGTCGGATAGCAGTAGTTTACCCTGCTTGTCTTTAATGGGTGTATTTAGTGTAGGTGAGTGATTGCACAGTTGTTTCATAATATGGAATACGGTTTTGTTGTTTCCAATCTTGGCAGCTGTTTCAGCATCGGAGGCGAGGTCGTGTATGAAGTTCTGTTTGTCTTTCCTTGCATTTGATTTCACTTCTTTGTCTAGCGTGCTGTATTTTTCGTATGAAGATGTGTCTTTTTTGGATAAAAGTGTTAATTTTGCTTGTTTCCTTTCTTGGATTTTTGACCAAGTGTTGTCGCTTAGCCACTTCTTCTTCTGCTTTTGTACATAACCAACTGTGTTTACTGCAGCGTTCGTCAGTGTGTTCTTGAAAAAGTCCCAATTTGTGTCTATGTTATTTGTAGTATCCGCATTATTAGTTTTGGTTACATAGGTGGTGAGTATCTCTGCATTAAATGCGCTTTGATGATCTTTTGACAAAAGGGCTTGTAAGTTTATTTTCTTATTTCTGGGTGGTTTAAGTAGAGACTTGAGTTTAATTTTTAGTTTGGCAATACAAAGATTATGATCACTGCCAATATCAGCTCCCCTGTAGGCTCTAACGTCTTGCACTGATGTACGGAATTTGGCGCTGATGCAAAAAATGATCTATCTGGTTTTTTGTTATGTTATCTGGCGAAATCCAGGTTATTTTATGTATGTCTTTATGCGGAAATAAGGAGCTTGCTGCTGTTAGATTTGCTATTTCACAGAGTTCAATTAGCCTCTCTCCGTTTTGATTCATATCTCCTGGGCTGTGTACTCCCATATATTTTTGAACACCTTTGTTGTCAGACCCTAACTTGGCATTAAAATCACCCATTACAACAAGGAGGTCGTGCTTAGGAGTTTTGTTTATGACACCAACCAGGAGGTCGTAGAAATTATCTTTGTTGCTGTCGGTGTCGTTGTTTGTAGGTGCGTAGCACTGTATAATAGTTAGTTTGAAATGTTTGGTCTGAAAACGCGCTGTTAAAATTCTGTAACATGTAGCGGTGAGGGTA